CACCACAGTTCGACCCAAGTACAATGGCCCAAGCAACAACGACTTGCGCACAAGCCGTACCCTCAGGATACGGAACAGCCCCATCGTCGAATCAGGTCTGGAATCAAGCCATGTTCGACCCAGCCACGGCGATGCAAGTCACTTCGGTGGACCAGCAAAACCAGGCAATGATGTTCGGCACGGGACACCAATCGACGCCTGCAGCTCAACCCCCTGTGCAAGCTGTGGCTTCGTCGTTCGCACTTCCATACCCACAATTGAGCTGGCATGCTCAGCAAGGGGCTATGGTCAAGCCCGGTGCCGAAATGGGTTTGCCCCTCAGCTGGGGAATCAAGAATCACCCTATCCCGTCCCAGTTCAAGTACCCTCCAGTCCCACGGTATTCGGGAGAGACGGATCTGAAAGAGTTCCTATCCATCTACGAACCCGCAATTGAAGCTGCTCATGGCGATGAGAATACCAAGGCGAAGGTAATTCACCTCGCGCTCGATGGCATAGCTAGATCTTGGTATTTCAATTTGCCTGTTAACAGCATTTACTCATGGGAGCAATTGCGTCATGTTTTTGTCCTTAACTTTTGAGGTACCTATGAGGAGCCGAAAACTCAACAAGTCCTTCTTGGCATTCGCCAAAGGCCAGGAGAATCGACAAGGGAATACATATGCCTGTTTTCGCAGGCACGGTGCCAGGTGCAAGATATAGGTGAAGCATCTGTCGTCCACGTAGCTTCGGTCGACCTGCTCGAGGGCGAACTCACAAGAAAGCTCGTGCGCAAGGAGCCCAGAACAATCGAGCACCTCTTTCGCATAATTGATGGATATGCTTGAGGTGAAGAAGATACCAAGCGAAGGCAAGAGATACAAGTCGAATACGACAAGGCATCCGCGGCCGCAGCGGCCACCATACAAGCCAACTCCCAAGCTTAGGTTCAAGCTCAAGTTGTATGTTCGGCACCTGTCTAGGTTCACCCAACCCCCCCGGCAAACCAAGGACCGCATCCAAGGCCGAACCAAGCTCCCATGACATGGAAGAAATTCAGAACCGAGCGAGCTGGCAAGGCAGTGATGGCGGTCGAAGAGGTACATGCCCTCCGCAAAGATTTCAACGCTAGCAAGCAGGCGGACAGCAACAACCCTTTCGCAAGAAGATCAAGAAGGACCTGTACTGCGCCTTTCATGGACGCTCTTCACACACAACCGAGCAGTGTCGAAACATTCGGCAACAAGGCAATGCTCAAGCGCCAAGGCAGCAGCAACCAAGCGGCCTTCAACCAAGCACCTCAAGTAGAACAACGCCAAGACGTGCAATGAAGAGTAATTCAGGTCATTACAAGATCTGATCCCTCCTCACAAGTGTCGAAACGGCAAAAGAAGATGCAACTTCAAACAGTGCACAACATTGTCTCGGCAGGTGATGGCGTCCCAAGATACTTGTCGCAGCCAATATCCTTCGGGCCAAAGGATACTGAAGGAGTTCTTTTCCCGCACCAGGACCCGTTGGTGGTTTCGGCAGAAATGACTGGTTCTGAAGTCAAGCGCATCTTGATCGACGGAGTTCGGCTGATGTCATATTCGCGGGGACATACGCCAAGATGGGTTTGCTAACTTTGGCATTATCTCAAGCACCGACTTCACTTAGAGGGTTTGGAGGCGAAGCAGTGCAAGTTCTGGGACAAGCCCTCATCAAAGTTGCCTTCGGCTCGCAAGAGAACAGAAGAGGAGAAGAGATACTCTTCGATATTGTCGACATCCCCTACAACTACAACGCCATCTTCGAAGCAGTCTCTCATCACAACTACCTCAAGCTGAAGATGCCTGGCTCAGCCGGTGTGATAGTTGTCAAGGGTTCCTAGCCTTCGGCCGTCACAGTGACCCCTTTTGGCAGGGAAGTCCACACCTTAGAGGTCAAAGGACAAGAAAAAACAAAGCCAATACTAAAGCCCTCCCCCACGGCAAGGTTATCCAGTGGCAGATAGATGATTTCGACCCTGCCAAAGTCATATCGCTTGGTGGAGACCTGAGCGAACAAGAGGTTGATAGCATCCTGGTTGTACTTAAGAAGAACATTGGTATCTTCGCTTGGGGACCATACGATGTAGGGGGTGTTTTGCCAGATCTCATCATGCACCATCTCGCAGTCAAGCCTGAAGCAAAGCCTAAGAAGCAAAAGTTGAGGAAAATGTCTGCAGATCGCCAAGAGGCAGCGAAAGCAGAGGTGAACAAGCTGTTGAAAGCAGGGGTGATACAAGAGATTGACCACCCAGAGTGTTTAGCAAATCCGGTACTGGTGAAGAAGTCGAATGGCAAGTGGCGAATGTGTGTCGACTTCACGGACCTCAACAAGATGTGCCCGAAGGACGATTTTCCATTGCCCCGGATCGATTAGCTGGTTGATTTGACCGCCGTATGCGAACTCATGAGCTTCTTAGATGCATATTCCGGATATCACCAAATTCACATGAACCCAGCGGACATCCCCAAGACAGCCTTCATCACGCCCTTCGGCACATTCTGCCATCTCAGAATGCCTTTCGGTCTGAGGAATGCAGGGGCTACATTCGCCAGGCTAGTGTACAAAGTCCTGGGGTCGCAGTTGGGGCGAAATGTCGAAGCCTATGTTGATGACAATGTTGTGAAAAGCCGCAAGGCCTTCGACCACGCATCAGATTTGCAAGAGACATTCGACAACCTACGCGCAGCTGGCATGAAACTAAATCCAGAGAAATGTGTGTTCGGTGTTCGTGCTGGTAAGTTGTTGGGATTCCTTGTGTCCGAACGGGGGATCGAAGCGAATCCTGAGAAAATCGATGCCATTCAGCAAATGAAGCCACCATCGAGCGTACGACAAGTACAAAAGCTCGCGGGGCGAATAGCGGCACTTAGTCGATTCCTGTCAAAAGCAGCCAAAAGGGGCTTGCATTTTTTCAAGACCCTTCGAGGGGCAGGAAAGTTCCGTTGGACGCCCGAGTGCCAAAAAGCTTTCGAAGAGCTTAAGCGGTATCTCCAAAGCTCTCCAGCTCTAGTTAGCTCAGTGGCAGGGAGCGAACTCTGGCTCTGTCTAGCGGCTTCACTCGTTGCTGTCAATGCAACTTTGGTACAAGAAACCGAAGTAGGCCAGAAGCCAGTATACTTTATCTCCAAAGCTCTCTAGGGGGTGAAGGCCAGATACATTGAAATGGAAAAACTTGCTTACACCCTGGTGATGGCTTCATCAAAGCTCAAACACTATTTCCAAGCCCACAAAATCGTGGTACCTTCGCAGTATCATCGAGGAAAAGAAACTACGGGGCGCCTAAGGAAATGGACTGCTGAGCTGTCACCTTTCGGCCTACACTTTGTCGCCCGCACCACGATCAAGTCCCAAGTCCTCGCTGACTGTCCCAGAGCCTGAACCGGTCGAACAACCATGGGTCATGCACTCCGACGGTTCGTGGTCTCACAAAGGGCCGGGCATCGCCGCAATCGTGACTTCGCCAGGGGGCGTTCCAATTCGTTACACAGCAAGACTGTAGTTCGACACAACCAACAACACAATAGAATATGAAGCAGAGTGAATGGGCCTAAGGAAAGCGAAAGCTTTGGGTGTTCGGCGTTTGCTAGTCCGGACGGACTCAAAGCTTGTCGCCAGCCAAGTCGACAAATCCTTTGAGGCGAAAGAAGAAGGAATGAGAAAGTACCTGGAGGCCGTTCGGTCTATGGTCAAATGTTTCGCCGGCATAACGGTCGAACACTTGCCCCGAGGCCAGAACAAGGAAGCTGACACGTTAGCAAAAACAACAGCCTGCGGAGGACCGCATTCTCCAGGAGTCTTTTTCGAAGTCTTCTATACACCATGTATGCCAAAAGACAGCACATGCATCATGGTAATTGACCAAGCTGAACTGGGCGAAGACCCGGACGACTGGCGAACGCCCTTCGTCAAGCACCTCAAAGAGGGATGGCTGCCGGATGACGAAGCAACGGCGAGGCAGCTGCAGCTTAGAGCCGCGAAGTACAAGTTAATCTCTGGGCAGTTGTACCGAACCGGAATACAGCAGCCCATGAAGGTGAGGACATGGTAAAGGAAATACACCAGGGGATGTGCGGAGCACACCACGCAGCAAGGACAATAGCATCAAAATTATTTCGCCAAGGCATATATTGGCCAACCGTACTCAAAGTATGTGTTGTATAGGTCAAAAAGTGTGAAAGCTGGCAGCGGCATGGCTGAAGCCAAACAGCACCACAGTACGAACTACAGCCAATCGCGCCAATCTGGCCTTTCGCAAGATGGGGCTTAGTCATCATTGGCCCATTCCCGGTGGTGCGAAACGGTTACAAGTTCGCCATTGTAGCCATCGAGTACTTCTCTCGCTGGATTGAAGCCGAACTACTTGGCACAATAACTGCAGCAGCGGTTCAGAAATTTGTAAATATCATCTGCCGATTCGGGGTACCGAAGGAGTTCATCACCGACAACGGCAAGCGGTTTGATTCTGAAAAATTCAAAGAAATGTGCGAGGGGCTAAATTTCAAATCAAGTTCGCCTCGTTCGCACACCCGCAGTCGAACGGGGCAGCCGAGCGAGCAAATGGAAACATCCTCGAGGCCTTAAAGAAGAGACTTGAGGGGGCGGCGAAGGGGAAATGGCCAAACGAAATGCTATCCATTCCCTGGGCCCTTCGGACGACCCCCACAAGGCCAACAAAGTTCAGCCCTTTCATGCTCCTCTACGGAGATGAGGCGATGACGCCGGCAAAACTAGGGGCTAACTCACCAAGGGTGATGGTTTCCGGGGGCGAAGATCAGCGTGATGTGTCGCTCGAACTCCTGGAAGGGGTGAGAGTCGAAGCACTGGAACACATGCGCAAGTACTCGTAAGGCACTTCGGCAACCTATAACATAAAGGTTCGCCCGACAGAGCTTCGGCCCGGCCATCTCGTACTAAGGAAAAAGGCGAACCCCGTGGCAGTCGGGAAGCTGGAGTCTAAGTGGGAGGGACCATATCTAGTCAAGCGCAGATCTCGAACGGGTTCTTTTCAGCTGGTAACATTGGAGGGCGAAGAGTTCGACCACTCCTAGAATGTCGTTTCCCTTAGACGCTTTTATGTGTAAAATGGTGGCACCATATTCGCCAATTGTAAAAATGTACATATTATGTAAGCCGTTCGGCACAAAAAAGAAAAAAAAAGAGGAAAATGGAAAAAGAAAAAAAACTGGACATAGGGTTATTATCCACCTTGGAGGCCTGAACCAGTATAAAAATCTCTATGTCTTCTTACTTTCCTTTTTTGTGAGTGATGTCTTCATGGAAAAATCCCAAGGCAAACGCCTAATCAGCGAACGAGCCAGGGGGGCAAAACGAATCGGTCGAAGCATAGCTCACTAAATAGCGAAACTGCAACAGCTCGAATTTTGAATATACAAGTCAAAACGCCGTTGTACTCGGCTTACGCATAGGCCACGATGCTTCATAGCACGCCTTCCATGAGCCGAAAACGGAAGAAGAGAGCTGAGAAATAAACATATCTCCTCGCTATAGAACGCTAAGGGGCCGACACGTTTCGACCTAACAAAAGCATGATAGTGACTAACTGACTATGCGAACAATAGCATGAAGATATGTATGAAAACTCACGAAATATCAGGAAAACGAAATCAAAAATATGTTCTATTTACGTGAACAAACATAAAAAAAATTACATCATCATTCATACATTCGCCCTCGTCTACGTTACAAACCGGCGTACAAGGTTCGTCGTCACTACTAATATCGTATACAACCCTTAAAGGCGACGGGGGCCAAGCACAAACTAAGCTATAACGGCGATGGGCGATCGCCTCTTGGCGACTCGACCTATTGAAGTTTCGCCAGAAATTGGTGCTATCCTCACGGCGAGCGACATGGTAGCGGTCGTAGTCCTCCAAGGTTCGCCCTGGATACGCACGCATCCATCCCGCTACCTTGATAACCTTATAGCTATTGCCGTTTATCAACATCTCGCGGTAAAACGGGTCGAAACGGACACTTGATCTTCGGCAAGCCCTTCATCGCCACGAACTTCTCATTCTTATTTTGCCAATCTCCAAAGGGGGGCCGAACGCACGACTTTCGGCTAAGACCCTGCCAATAAGACATAAAGTACAACGAAAAGGAAAAATACGCTAACCAAATCAATCACGTATTGCAATAAAGACGGACAGTTGGCGAAATACAAACTTTCCACAGCGGCTACAAGATGGTTACGGCAACTATCCGAACATGCAAAATACTTATAAACAAACTACGACTACAAAAGTCTAGAAAACAAAAACGCGAGGACGAAGGGCCTCACACCTCAGGGTGGTCTCGGCTTTCATTGCCTTCACCCTCATGACCGGTAGTTGCCTCCGACGGTCTGGGACCTTTAGCCAGCGTCGGCAGCAGCTGGGTCTTCGCCCCATCCCTACCACCGTTCTCCTAGAAGCCCTTCCGAAAGGCCTTCACGGCTGACGCGGCGGATTGATCATTTTCGGGCCAATCATTCTTCACGATTTGAGGAAAATCATCAACATGGTCACAACCATGTTCGTGAAGGAGGCTGAGCACGAAAACCGCGGCAACTTGCACACAGCAATCGCCGTACGCGCCAGCCACTTCGACAACTGAGCCGACCGCATCTTGCGTCCACTCGAAAAAATCGAACACCGTCCCGTCGTCACCCGAAGCGCCCTCCGCGCGCGCACCAAGGTCGTTGAGAGCTAGCCTAAGAGTGTTGCAGGCTTGCTTGGCGGACTCCGTCGCTGGCGCCAAAGTCTCATCAACAGCTTCGGCCGAGACAAGCTGGGTCTAAAGAGACTTAATCTTTTACTCGGCCGCAGCAAGTTGGCGTTCCCGTTCGACGGCCCTCTTGTTCGCCCCCTCCAGGTCGGTGCGGAGAGATTTGTTTTCCCCTGTAAGAGAATTGTTCTCCGCGTTCGCCTTTTTCAAGGCGTCCGGCACGACACGGCGTTCGTCTTCCTTGTGGCGGAGGTCCTCTTCGGTCTTCCGAAGGTGAAGCCAGTACCCGTCTAGCCTCTCCAAGGCAGACCGTTTCGCGCTCAGGTGCGCCGCGAGACCCTGGGTAAGGGAAGCCGAATCCATTTTAGTACACCAAGGACGAAAGGCACAAAAAACTTATACGGGCGAAGGGAAAAGTTCATACCTGCACGAATAAGCTCTCCGCAGCCGTGCAACTCTCACCAAATTCCTTGAGTTCGGTAAAGAGACCAAGGCCGTCGGACGGCGCAACAATCCGATACACCCCATCTACGAAAGTGGCGATCTCTGGCCGAGAGGCGAAATCCGCGGAAACAAAGTGCGGGCGGTCAGTGTCATATCAGACACGGTCATCTCAACCGACGGCGCCTTCCCCTCCCGCTGATGACTCGTCGAAGGAACCGTTTCGACTCTCTCGGCCTTGGTGGTATTCGCCTCCGCTGACTTGATCGCCCCGATCGAAGCAGCGGCAGGAGCCGAAGCACTGCCCCTAGTCGGCGCTTCAGCATCGCTGGCAGGGGGCGGCGACGGGCGCCTCCTCCGGGGGCCAATGCGTCACAGCGCCGGCGAAGTAGGCGTCCCGTCAGACGACCCCTCGCTGTCGGTAAAGCCACCAGCGACTTGCACCACCCCTCCCTTCTTATTTCTGGCGATCGCCCCTTGTTTCGCCGCGAAGATCGAAATAGCCAAAAGCATGTTCGTGCCAGCAACATCTTGTGCACGTACGGGCGAAACATCAGAGCTCGCTCCAGCCTTCGCCTGGACTGGACTGGGGGTGTAGCCGTGCGATCCGCCCTCTTCGTTAGACCCGGCCTCTCTTTCGTCGTCATCCTCCTCGTCCGCGTCGGTGTTGGGCGCGTCCTTGGTGGCGCGACGAGTTTGCACCTGGCCACCCTTCGCAACGGCTCGCTTGCGCTTCTTCGATGTCCCAACGTCGTCGTCGGCGGCTTTGGAAATGATCGATCGACTAGTAAACTCGCCGACATGAACGCGGTTCGCCCTCCCATCGGCTTGACGTTGGAGCAAGCGGTCGAATTCGGCAGTGGTCAGGCCTCCGACCATCTTCGCCGCCTCTGCCTCAGCATCTTCCAATGTGCGGACTGAATAAAAAGGGAATAAAAAAACGGAGTGGGTCGAAACATATCTTCACACCCAAAAAAAATGTAGAGAGGTAAAACAAAAACTCACGTTCGGCACCGGAAGGAAGAACGAGGCGGGGAAGCCCGAGCACCTCTTCGTCCTTGTTAACGGACGCCCCCTATTCGCGGACAAGTGGAGAGATCCGATAAAGGCAGAACTCCTCGCAGAGGTCGCGGGTGCTTAGCTGTCGCGCACCCTTGCGAAGGAGGATGAGTCGGGACTCGAGTGTGCCGTCGACCTCCACACTTGGCTTGGCGATGATGGAGACAGGTAGGCGCCGAAAGCGAAGCCAGTTCACCTTGTTGTTGGCGGCCGCCCACCACCGTCGAGCCCTCCCGTGGCCTCATGGCGAGGGAGACGAGACAAGGGGCGGAGAGGCACCGCCGCCCGTTGCCGCTCGCAGAAGGAGAGAGCTGCCGACGCCGAGGAGTAGATCGCTAGCCAACGCTCCCAGGCCCGTCGCGCACCGCTGCTCACCGGGTGAAAGACGCCGCCGGCCAGGTGGAGGGAGCGGCGGCGGAGGCACTGGCCGCCAAGGGTAGGGCGCCGCCGGCTAGGGGGAGGGCGCCGTGGCGAGCGACGCCGCCGTGGGTGGGGGGAGGGTGGGAGGGACGAGATGGAGGGCATCGTCGGCTGAGGAGAGAAGAAGAAAAGGAAGGAAAGGGAAGATGCGCAATGGAGAGGACGAAGAGGAAGAGAAAAGGATCGGGGAAAAACGAGGAGATAATGAGGGCGGAAAAATCGAGGCGCCCGGCGCTCGCTCCGAGTGGTTAGGCTGTGCGCCCTTTGTCTCTCTGTGCGAAATCATGTGCAGTACATGGAGTGTGAATTGACAGAGATGTATGGCGAGTCACCGCACCGCTGCCAAAGGCCACATGCGAACGTGCACGTGGCATCTGACTCCAGCAGTTTTTCATTTCCATCCCTAATAGTATTGTTTATCCTATAGAAATAGGATAAACAATACTATTTATAAAAATATTTGTAAAAATACCCCAGGTTAGTACTCACACATTGATGTTCAGGACCTTGGAAGTTTTAATTTTTCAACACTGATATGATATTGAGATGACCATAGAAGTCATTAACGTAAAAAATATACGTTATATAATTTTGTGATTTTCATGTGGTTTGACAAATTTTGCAAATCTAAATATATATCCATATACCTAATTAAAAAATACAGGTATTTTTTCCATCCTTTTTTGTCCGCTTTTTTTTATTTTTTCCACTGCTTTTTTGTCGCTGTCTTTTTTGAGTTCTTTTCATCCGTTTTAAGTCGTATTTTTGGCATGCGGTAAGGATACGTTTTTTTAAAGTCGCCAGGCTGACCCCTAGCGCGCCACTGTCGATTTGCCTCCCCCATACGTTTCCTCCTTCGATTAATTAAAAAATTGATTCCTTCTATTACCTCATCATTTGTTTTTAATTCACCGGATTTACTGTTGTCGTTTTTATCTGACTTCTATGGATTCGCTTTGATTTTGATAAAAATAGAAAGAGAATGTCGAGATTCGCTTTGATTTTGATAAAAAACGGAAAGATGATATTATGGGAGAGTGGATGAAAAGTGAAGGAGTATAATATATAGCAATCAAAAACTTTTTTACCCGTTGCAACGCACAGGCATTTTTTCTAGTCTATTTAAATTCTGGAAAAATCTAAATGAAATACCTAAAGCTTTATATTTTCAACAGAAAAGCATGTAAACTTGTAAAATCCATAACTTGTAAAAGCATGTAAACTCATCTTAGAGTAATTCAAATTACTTCTAACTCATCAAATCAAGAACTTTAGTGTTATTGCATAAAAACTTGCACTCACAATACAATTTCTGTCTCTAAAATTTATCTAAGTAAAATCACATATAAAACATGCACAGGATTATAAAATGCATACAAAATTCATTTCAACTCATTTTAGAGCAAACATAGTTTCTACAGATCCACCAACATGTTCTCTAAAAACAAAGTAAATTAAAACATATACACACTTTACATCAAATGCCTCTAAAACTACTATCTTTAAAATAACTAGTTCTGCATAAGCTGAACTTTAGAAGTTTATGTAAAATTCATCTTAGATCCTTTTTGAGTAAACTCAAGTTCTGTAGAATCATAGAGTTGTGCACTTACAGTATAATAAGAACCCCTAAGCATTTATGTAAGGAATAAGCAACATGGAGCATACCTTAAATTGTAAAATTTGTAAAAAATTCATCTTTAGTCTAAATGAAGTAAACCAAATTTCTATAGAACCAGCAAGTAATATACTTCAACCTAGTAGAGTGAATTATTGCACCCTCTGTACAGACCATAGTTCTAAACCATAATTTGATAGAATAGGTACTAAACAGTGTGTGTATATATATATATATATATATGTATATATATATGTATATGCATGGTAGCTCCAAATAAATCCAAATAAAACTTGTTAGGACCAGTGGAACCATAGTTCCATCCCCATCTGCCAAAACTTAGAAGAACTTAGCTCATATAATAATTTCTAGGTTGATATAATATATTGCTAGCATAGACTAGAGCTCCCCTAGTTTATAAAAATATGAACCATGATAATAAAAATCATAAGCTTATGAACTAAGGTTAGATTAGTTAACTAAAATCCTCATTTTATAATCACTAGCAAGTTAGAGAAAGTTCTGGACCTAAATCTCCAAAGCCATGTACACATAGAGACTATATGCCTAGAACACGTTATAAATTGTGAACCACATAAAGAATACATAATAACTCTAAAAATTGTAAAACCAGATGTATTAGTCTTAGAAAACACACCTCTACACCTATGTGAAATCAAACTTAATAAACATCACTTTATAAAAATATTTTGTAACACTACCAAAGTAAATACTACCCTATACCGAGCAAACTTCTAAAATTCATAACTCTCAAATGAAATGAGATAAAATAGAAATTCTTTCACCTAAATTCATTTTAGACCAGTACCTATCCACTGTGCACAAATCATGCATTTTAGAGCATTTTGGATTTTTCGCATATTTCGGTGTTTAACTGCATAACGTGTACTTTGTATAGATGATTGCTTAAACGGTGAAGAAGTGATTTAGGTGCTGACTTTTTCCAGTTACAAGGCAAGTCCCACCTCCCTCTCTTTGATCAATTTGAACATATGTTTTGGAGGTTATTGAAAATGTTTGCAAATCTTGCATGTCGATTGTACACTAATAAATTAAAAATTTTGTTAAACTTGATAGACAAACTCCTACTACTTGCATTATCACCTTAACTCCACATATATCCTTATCTCTCATTCCTAACCTTAGGAACAATATGACTATACCACTTTATATATGAGTTTTCGTGACACTAGGTTACTATAATGCTTAGCCATGCTTAGAATGGTCTTCCTTGTCATTATGGGCTCATTACAAACATGAAAATTGATTTTTAAATAATCTGGACAGAACTTTAATACTTGTGATTTTGATAAATAAAATGGTGGAAAACATGGATTTTAGGTTTGGGCCTCAACTGGTGCACATATGGTGATTAGATGTGTACCGATAGGGGGAGTGTGCGCCCAAACCGACCTAAGGACTTCAGTCAATGTCAGTTCATTTCGTATACAGTACAACCACATGTGCTAGTATAGGATAGCCCAAGCTTAGTAAATTATTTATGGTTTAGCCTTACATTCTGGTAGGTCGGTGTGTATGAGTTAGTCGATAATTCTGAGGAATTAGTCGATGATTCAGAGGAACTTCCTATTTGCCCTGACGTGGTAGTTTAGGTGACTAAGTCTGTCCAATACAACGGTATTGTGCCACGTGGGTGGGTTCCCGTTGTGTCCGCCACCACGGCGTTAAGCTCAATGCGTGGGCCCGCCACTTAACGGCTCTAGGTCATATTTCCAGTATGACTAGGATGGAGGAACACGTATCGTGCTGGTGTAAGGCTAAATCATGAATTTTGGAAAAGCTTTGTTGCGGGTAATAAATCGGGTACTTATGTATCGCGTGCCATGCTCTTGCATGATTATTATTTCGTATCATGTGGGTAAAGTGTACAAACTCTGCAGAGTAAAAACTAATCGATTAGCCGTGCTCACGGTCAAGAGCGGCGTGTGGATTAGATAGACAAGCTTCCGCTGTTCTATTATTTATTTGGCCAGTCGGCCGTGTAACTAAAGTAGATGTAGTTTATAATTGCTTTCATCTTATTTGTGTTTGCTATGTATAACCATGCTTGAGATGAAAGTGTGAATCTAGTGCACATCCTGGGAACGAGATTCAGATAAGTATGAGTTAAGAATATTTGAGATGTTGTAGATCTTTAGCCATTTTGTCAAGTCTTCGGAATGTGTAACACATCTGGTCACCGTCTTCGAGTGGTTTGACGGGCATATCTCAGGCTGAAGTTGATTGGCAGGCTAAAGGGTCAGCAATGTCTCCAATATTCTTCTCTCAAGGCATCGCATGTTTCATTATGTTTGTTTGATGACTTGAATTATTCACTTCATCCCTCAAATAAAATGGAAGGTCCGGAGAGCCTACGACAGCGAATTGTCGGAAATGCCCCGCAACCGCCATCAGGAGATGATCAAGATCGTCCATGCCAAAACCTGGGATCAACGGTGATCACCAGGGTTTGGCCGAACCAGGGGGTTCGGGTGAACCTGGGCTGGGGCCCTGGTTCGGCCGAACCTGGGCTGGGCCCACCTGGCCTGGCCTCTGGCCTGGCTTCTCTCCTGGTCCTCCTCTATCCGTTCTTCGGTGTTTTGGGCTGATTCTCTGATATTTTTATTTAGTTCTCAACCCATCCTTGTGTGGACACACATTTCTCCTTCACTTTAGTCTGGTTTTCCAACCAACATCGGGGTTTACCACCTGCATACAAATATACACCAACACTTGTGGAATATGTGAGATTAAGCACCTATCACTATGTTGAATGTTTTATTATCTGGACTTTATGCAGATGTTGGTGGTATAGAATCGGCATTTTTATAAGGAGGGACTTGGATCGATCCATGACAAGCCATCCGATAAGACCACAATGCTTCAGCCAACCGAGTATGCCATTGTCGAGGATAATCAGAAATTTTTCGTTTAATCAATTTGATCAAGCTCTTGTTAGATGCCTCAGCCTACCCATTAGCTTGTGCATAATACGGTGAAGAATTCAATAATTTGATACCCATGCTATCGGCAAACTGAACAAACTCATCATACACGAAAATTGAACCTTGATCAGTGGTAATAGTTTGAGGAATACCAAATCGGTAGATTATATGTTCTTGAACAAACTGTATCGCATCCCCAGCATCAACCTTCTTCAAAGAAATAATCGGTCGCCACCAATATAAACTTATGTCCTTTACTCGATGGTGGATTTATCATGCCGATCATATCAGTTCCCCAACCTCTGAATGGCCATGGTTTAATGATAGGATTCATAGCCGACGCTGGCGCTCGCTGGATTGCTCCAAATTTCTGACAATCTTGACACCCTTTGTAATATCTGAAACAATCTTCCAGCATTGTCGGCCAAAAATACCCTGCACGCCAAAGTAACCACTTCATCTTATGAGCCGA